CAGGACATCGGGTCCTGCTCAGGAAGGGCCTTTCAGGTAAGGGAGGAAACGCACCCAAACAGAGGCCGTGCAGGTTCTCGTGGCCACGCCCTCCGTCGGCGTCGCGGGCGCGGCCAGCAGAGACAGCACCAAGGCGAAAGGTCGCCCGGGCTGCCACCTGCACGGGGAAGTACTTCCCGCCCACGGCCCTGGCTCCCCATCTCCACCCTCAGCGACCCGGGTCCAGGAGACCGGACTAGGCTAGCTCCGTACCATCCCGCACCTCGGCGCGCCGGGCTCCTGTAGCCCTTCAGGGACAGCAGCGGAGGCACCAGGGGTGAGCTGCCTGCACAGCACAGAGCCGGAGTGCGCGTGTCAGATCGGCAGGGGCCCCGCTGCGGAGGCTGTAGTGTCTGTCGGCCAAAGAAGAAGTACAGAAACCGCTAGCAGAACTGCGTTCGCGCCACCTCCGGGCAGCCAGCGGCGGATAAGGATGCACATGAAACACGTCATCGCGACCCATAGCGTGAGGAACTACAATCTCAGAAACCTCTGTGCTGGGCGGGCAGCATGAGGGCTCCACAAGGCTGGAAGCTGTGACGCTCCCAAATCGGCCCTGGACTTGCTAGACTCGAACCTCAGAGAGACTCGCGTGAAAGCAAAAGAGAGGGTATGCGAGTTGCATTACAAGGGTTACCAAATTGGTAAAATTCTTAATTTACTTTACACTTTAATAACCCAAGGATTCATCATATAGAAGTCTCTATTAAGTTACACATTAAACATAAGTAACATTTTAATGAAATTTTTTTTTTAAATTAGTACTTTTTAATATCTTAATAAAAGCCAGCTGGATTCTCGTATTTACTTATGTATTTGGTCTGCCATGGATTGTGATAGGTCTCCCACTACCTCAGCAGCTATTATGTATAGTAGCTGCCCTCTTCCTATCGTCCCTTGCCCACTCCCCTGTGTGACGTCACACCAAGATGGTTGCTCTCACCAAAGAATAAACCCTTCTTCCCAGCATGCCCCTGTTCCCGCCTAGAAAGTAACCTAATACTCGCTCACCTCCTACCACCTAGTGACATCACTGGCTCCTCCATTCCCTAGTCACTACCTCACTCAACCCCACCTCAGCCCCTAAAAACCCTACCCCAGTCTCTATAAAAGACTCTCCCTCCCCTGGCCATATTGCTTTTGTCTCTACTTTGTTCAGAGACAGCCCGGCAGATCTGTTCCCCTAATAAAGGCTTGTTGTGGCCTGGTCTGGTCTTGGTCTTTGGCCCTTTTACCTGACAGATTGCTTTCAGTAAGAGCTGACAAAGGATAGTGTTGCACTGTACAAAATGAAACCACATAGGGAACTTTCCTCTCTTACATTAAAATTCATTGATCTACTTTGCACTTTGAATGGATTCTCTTCTCATGCATGATGTAACACCATATATTGCTCACCTGAGTTAGTGTTAGGCCTTCCCAATGATGACATATTTCATTATACAGGAAAGATCATATTCATTAATATCATCATTGATCTTAAGTGTTGTCAGGCTGTGAACTTCTCAGTGACAGGTAAAAGTTTCTCATCTTTTGCCAGAAAACTAATACTGTGCATGTGTGTGTGCACATGCATGCTGGGGATTGAACCTAGGGCCTTGTACAAGCTATGCAAACACTCTACACTGAGCTATACTCCAGCCCCAGAAGAGTCTTAATATTGGCAAAAATTACTGCCATTTGTTTTCCTTGAAGTGACAAGCTCTCTTGATTATTTTGGAGAAAATATCTACCAAGATCATTCAATACTTCTTTAATACAAGCCTCAGCTCCCAGTTGAAATAATCATACACTTACACTTTCTTGAGACAGCTATGAAACTTTGGTACACAACCCAGAATATCCATTGCATAGATATTAAAAGGACATATACTCGGGTTGAGGATTTATCTCAGTGATTCTGCTGCCTGCCTGGCAAGCGCAAGGACCCAAGATCGATCCCCGGTACCAAAAGAAAAAAAAAAGAGGACATATACTCAATGGCTGAAATTTAATAAAAGAGACTATGTTTACTGCTTCATTTGGGGGATCCTGAAGGGATATTCATCTAATGTGTCTTTATGAGTGTGTACTGATGAATACAATGCCTACTAATAAATACAGTTGGGTACCATTACCCTAGTAAATGCATTTGTCTACCATTTTTGCACTATTGACACTTTTGAAAATTACAAATCAAATATTTGCAGAATAAACCTCAATTTTTATTTAGTATTTTATCAAAATTAGTCTATGTTATGTATCTTTGACAGGAATTACATAGAAATTATGGTGAGTTATTTTCATTACAACCTGTCAGGTGAAACATGATTTTGGCACATGACTAGTGATGTTTGCTTCAGTCATTTCAGTAAGCTGTTGGTCAGCCATTTTCATTGTAAAGTTACTTTCTTTCTAATTGATATTTTGTGGTGAAGTTCTTGAAATGGTGTAAATACCTCATTGCTCAGTGAACTTGCAACTATTCCTTAATTTTTTATATTAATATGGATTCACAGATATCTCAATGAATGTTACTATTATTATTTTATTATTTATCATTACACTTTAACGCTCAAATTATCACAGATTTTTATCACTAAGAGATTCATATCATCTTTATGATATGTCCTCTTCGCCCTTTTAACTTTTCATTATTTCTAGCCCTAAAACTGTTCCAGATTCACCTTCACTTTCTTTTTTTCTTTTTTCTTTTCTTTTTTTTTTTTTTTGGTACCGGGGATCGAACTTGGAACCTTGCACTTTCAAGGCAGATGGCAGAACTACTGAGCTAAATCCCTGGCCCCCAAGTTATATTTTTTTCTCTTATTCTTAGTTTATATTAGCTGCTTATTATCTTAATTACTATGCATCACCAGTCCAGGAAATGAGCTTGTCAATCTTCAAGAGCCACATTCTCGCTCTTGAGATCACTACTCATGAGGTGAGGTCATCACAAAACTCTACAGAGCTGATCAAAGTGATATGTTTTAGCAGCCTTTCATGTCCTGCAACAGGCTTAATGTGTGATCTCTTTTTTCTTTAATATTCAAAGGCCTTCTTATATTTGGATATTAAATGTCCCACAAAACATTGCCTATTGAAGGCTTGGAGATGGGACCTTTGGGAAGTGATCGGATGATGAGGGCTCTGACCTTATTGTGGCAGGACCCCTGACCAAAGTCAGAGCAGGCTATAATATGGAGCAGGCATTTTCCCCCCATAATTGGCCACAGTGTATTCAGAGCCGGACTGAACCCCACCTAACACACAGGAGCATGTCAGATGGCACGCGGGTGAGCAGAGCTCCCCCACCAACACAGCTGAGGCAGAGACCTAAGTTCTGGTCTGTGAAGCTGCAGGGCTCCTAAGTGAGATAACACTGCAGCCAAGGGCCATGTGGCTCCAGACCACATTTCATTCCTAGGGCTACCTGTCTTTTAATTGTTTTTATTTTTGTGGTACCAGGGATCAAACTCAGGAACTTGCACTTGTGAGCCAGGCATGATGGCACTGAGCTAAATCTCCAGCCCTCTCTCTTAATTGTTTTAGGAGCTTACTAGTTAACCATGACCTATCTTTGGTCTGCTCTCTTTTTGCAAGAATGCCTTATTGTAGGGAACAGGGGAAGGGGACGTTACCAGAACCTCTGCAGTAAGTCCTAGTCTCCTGCGAGCCACGGCAGCACACAGCGAATTACAGGAAAGGTAGACAAATGAGACTGACAAGAAGCTGAGCTTTGGGTCTGATCAGTGCTGCTCTGGGTGGCAAAGACAAGAACCCTTAGCTTGCAGCACCTTTTATTTAGTACATCAGGAGAAACAAACGTAACAAATGAACACGTAGATTTCAGTATCACATTGGGATGAACAAGGTGTAACAAAAGACTGGGTGGGGGCAGCGGAAATCTAAGAACAATGAGGAACTATGCAGATGAAAATTTAGTTCCTCCCAGGAACTACACAGATGAAGATTTGGTTCCTCCCAGGGTGTCTCTTGCAGGTGTGGTCTTGTCCTGGAGCATTACAGCATCATGGGATCATTGAGATCTCCTTTGTGACCTGAGGCCAAAATGGAATTATGTCTTGGAATGTTATAGCTGGCCTGTAGGCAGGAGAACTAGGCCTACTCAAATGATTTTTCCCTAGAATTACATAGCATTGCTCCCAACACCTTATCCCCCTTTTACAAGCCTTGCCTGTGTCAGCTATATCACCAGATGCCAAATGAATCCTCCTACCCTGTTTTACTCATGCTTGTAAAATCAATAAATTCAGGTGGTCCTGGTTGCTTGGGGTCCTTGTAATATACTCCATGTGGCCCATCCCAGTTGCTCTCTGTTTAAGTCTAGTTTCCATGTCTTTCTTTCACCTTGCATCGTATTGCCTTATAGGAGATCAAGACTCTTGGCTGAGTTCCTTGATACATTATGAATGGATTAATCCACTTATGGGCTCATTGTTTGATGGGTTTAGGGGAAGGACTTTGTTGTAGAAGTGGGCTCTTTTTGGTCCTTGCTGCAAAGATGTGACCAGCCTACCTCCACCATTATGCTTTTATCATGATTTGCTGCCTCACCACAGGTCTAAAAGCAATCAGGCCAAGTAGCCATGGACTAAGACCCTCGAAAGAGTGAGTCAAATATACCTTCTGTCTTTTAAATTGATTTATCTTGGGTGTTTTGTTACAGTTATCACTAGCTATCACAAAGCTAACACAAGCCCTATAAGGAAATTCAGAGGCTCTTGAATGCACTCCAATTCACCTTCTTAATTTCAGTGACCATCAAACTCTCCACTCACCTCTTTATCTCAAACTATATGGAAAGCTGGTCTCTCAAAACATAACTACCACAGGGCCTGGTGGCACACACCTGTAATCTCAGCACTCAGGAGGCGGAGGCAGGAGGATCTTGAGTTCTGGGCCAGCCAGTGTTAGATATTTTTCTCTTGTTGCTGAAATAAAATACCCGACACCCAAAGTTAGAAGGGAAGAGGTTTATTTGGCTTACAGTTCAGAGGTTTCAGTCCATAATTGGCTGGCTCCAAAGCAGGGTGGTTGGCAGACAGGCATCCCAGAGGAGAAACAACATGGTATGCACAAGGTAGCAAAGGTAACAAGAGGAAGCACCCACAGAGTAGCAACGGCAACAAGGGAGAAAGTTTAACTGCATCTTTCTGCCCCTTTTATCTTATTCAGACTACCAGGATTAGAGTAGTGCCAAACTAATCACTCACATGTAATGGTTTAGTAATCACATCCCCTTAACCCCAACATCACACATTCCAGGTTCAACTACCTCTGAAAAAGAAAGAACCACCTCAACCACATGAGGCTTTGAGGGGCTAAACACAAACCATAACATTCCACCCCTGGCCCCCCAAAGACTCATGCATATCCCTTTATACAAAAATGCATTTAGTCCATCTCTAAGAGTTGCCAAAGGCCTAATAGTTTCATCATTGCTGAAAAGACCAAGTCCAACGTCTCCTCTGAGATTTAAGGCAAACTCTTGGCTGCAAGCCCCTGTCCAAATGAAAAGAAAGTCAAACACTTCCAAAATTCAATGGCACAAGATAGACATTACTGTTCTAAAAGGTACAAACAGGAGGATACAAAGGAATGGGACCACAGTAAGTCCAAAATCCAGTAGGGCAAATATTAAGTCCCACAGTTCCATTTTCACTATCTGTGACAATCTGTGGCAAATTGTGAACTCCAAATGGGTTGGGTGGCTCTGCCCCTGTGGCACTGAGGGTTGTTGTAGCTCTTATGGATTCTCTCTTGGGCTGGCTCTGCTCCCTCCTTGTAGCTTTCCTCAGACCATCCATGTTCCTGGCTTCTCCAAACTTCTGGGGTCTCCACTGGACCTTTGTTATTACACAGCTTCACACATTGCCCTCTCAGGGGCATCCTGCCTGGCCTCCCAGGACTTCTTCTGAAATCTGGGTGGAAGTCTTTGTGACCCCCAACTCTTGCATTCTGCATGTGCCTAAAACCAGTGCCACGTGGATGATGCCAAGGTCTACTACCAGTTGGAGCAGTAGTAGCCAGTCTTCTCGCTCTCCTGGCTGTAGGGGTCCAATGCTTATGAACCAAATCCTAAGGAACAACTTCCCTAAGCTGCCATTTTGAAATGACTTCCCTAGGCCACCATCATTGTAGAACATGGTGCTCTGGGGCTTTCTTCTCAAAGCAAAATCTTTTACATATATAACTCTGAGGCTGCAAAGAGTGGAGTCCTGCTGCTTCCTGTGATGCCCTTGGGCCATCTTTTGCATTCTCCAGTTCCTTCTCTGCAATGAAGATCTCCTCTGCTCTATCTTTGCAGTTCACAGCTTTACTGGAGCTTCCTTTCTGGCCAAATTCAAAATATTTTAAATTATTCTGTTGGGCTTTTTGCTCTTGATTCTTAACATAGATCTGGCTAAAAGACCCTAACAGTAGCCATACTAATATTATAGAATAGGTAAGTTAATTAGATATCTTGTAGGCAGTTATACAGGGCTGGCCCTTGAGAAGCCAATATGGAGGACAGTCAAAGAGCCAACGTGGAGGACAATCGAGACACATTCACTGAATGCCAGCATTGTAAAAGGAAACTACCACAGCCACGTAGAATAAATAGCGATTGATATTCTAAATAGGTATCAATCACCTCAGTGGGGGTCCAAGATCTTCCAGGAAAGACCCCAGACCCAACCCTTACTGAAAATCCTTGCTCACTTCCTTGTATGCTTGCTATGTGACTTGCTTCCCCACTGGATCCCCATTTAATCAATATTACCTAAGAGACTATACTTGTTGTAATCTTATTGGTTGATCATAGTTTTGCCCACCTTGTGATTTCTCATTGGATCAGTATTACCTAAGCAACTACTTGCAATCTTACTAGTTGACTATAGTTTTGTTCCACCTTGAAAGCACCTCGCCTCATGGCTTTGTCCCATAAAACACTTCTGAGAAGCAGGTTTTTTGGTCCCAATTCTGTCTCTCTTGGACAGAAGCTATCTTTCTCTCAATAAATTTTTCCTACTCTTTTTTTTTTTTTTTTTTTTTTTTTTTTTGGTACTGAGGATGGAACTTGGGACTTTGAACTTCGAAGGCAGGCAGCGGGAACCACTGAGCTAAATCCTGGCCCAATTTTTCCTACTCTTAACCTTCACTGTTCCTAGAATTCATTCTTTGATTTTAGAGAACACAAACTCACATTTTGGATTTTCTAGCAGGTTTGGGAGTTGCCTCTATTTCCCCTATATCAGTATTCCCCCTATATCAATATTCAACTGCCTTGAAATTTCTTCTTCAAGATTAATTAGTCCACTGCCCCTAATCTCAGTTTCAGGCAAAGTCTCTGGACACAAACAAAATGCAGACAAACTTCCTGCCAAGCTATAACACATATCATCTGGAGTCCAACAGCCAATGCAGTCTTTCTTTTCAGCAAAAACTTCTTGAGCCTGGTCTTTACCAGCCTTCTGGTCTCCTAAGCTCTGACCAGTATCTCCCAGACAAAATAGCCTAAAGCATTCCAGTGCTACTTCTGTAGCCAACATCTCTGAATCTTTCCTAACTCTTCCCCTTCCCACCAGCCAGTTCCAATGGCTTCTGAGGCACACGGCCAAGTAATGTCACAGTAATGACCCCACTCCTGGTACTAAATTTCTATGTTAATTAGTTTTCTCTCATTGCTGAGACAAAATACCAACACCCACAGTTAGAGGGGGTGGGGTTTATTTGGCTTACAGTACATAGAGGTTTCAGTCCATAATCAGCTGGCTTCAAGACAGGAATGACAAACAGGCATCAGCATCACAGAGGAGAAACAAGATGGTGCTCACATGGTAGCAAAGGCAACAAGGGAGCTTAACAGCATCCTTCTGCCCCTTTTATCTTATTCAGACTACCAGGATTAGGGAAGTGCTTAACTAATCACTCATACATTATGGTTTAGTAATCACACACCCTTAACCCCAGCATCACACATTCCAGATTCAACTACCTCTGAAAAAGAAAGTCTCACCTCATCCACATGAGGCCCTGTGGGGACATCTAAACACAAACCATAGCAGCCACCTACTGAGTTCAAGGCTCACCTGGACTACACAGGGAGACTGTCTCAAACAAAACAAAGCGGAAAAAAACCCCACATTGCTAGTATCCCATAAATCTGAAGAGTTGAGAGTTTACCTCTTCTCTTCTTCTTCCATTTCCCATCTATAACATTTTCCCACAAAAATATGTATTTTTTTGTGGTACAGGGGATCAAACCTATAGAGTGACTGTGCCACTAAGCTAGGTTGCCAGCATCTTCTCTATTTTTAGTTATAGCTCAGTAGTACAAGACTCTTGGGTTAATCCCAAGAATCTATGAATGAAAACAGCCTCTTTGGAGAAATTTCAGTTCACACTAAGCACACAAGAACATACTGATTCTAGTAGTTTGAAATTCATAAACATATCCACAACTAGGTGGTGAAGGAAACCCGCAAGTGGGCCAGGGATTTAGCTCAGTGGTGCCGCCGCCTGCCTTGCAAGCACAAGGTCCCGAGTTCGATCCCCAGTAACAACCACAAAAAAAAGAAACCAGGAAGCGGTTTCCCAGGTGGGAAAGAGAAACTGGTGGATATGGGCACCAAGCATCTAAGGGATGGAAGTGTTACATTCTTGTTTGGGGTGGTGCTTACACAGCTATATATTATGACAAAAATGCATCAAACTAAACACCTAAGATTTGTATAAATATATATTGCAACCTTGGATTGCAAGTAACTTGTTCTGCAAGTATTCTTCAAGACAAGCAAATATTTCTAATAAATTTTATCTTGATAAATGAGCAATGTCTTGCAATAAGTAGTAGTCTGCTGAATGTCACATGATCACAACTGAGCCAATGGTTCTCTCTTACTACAGGATTATGGGTGATCATCTACCAACAGCAAGAGCTTATAGAGATCTCATCTGCAGAGAGGCAGAGGAATCTTTAATTTCAAATGAAATAAGGGAGATGTGTAAAAGGTAAAAAACGGTGCAAAATTTTGTAGAAAATCACCCATATAAGGCTATAGCAGTGTGAGTGATTTATCTGTTCAACAACAATGGAATGTCACATTTCTGCAAAATCCTCAAAAGGAGGCAAAAGCAAATGTCATTGGATAGGTTCCTTGTTAAAGTTGCCCCAAAAGAAAAGGATTCCATTGAGTCAACAGTTTGCAGATTCTGTTACTATCAGGGACCATGCAAACTACCCCCCTCCACCTGACTGAGAGTAGGGTGAGGATAAAGAATAACACGAGACAAAGATTTGCTTAAATGGGAGTCCAGGACTGTCACACCTCTTATCCAGCTAAGACCATGAGGCTCCAGACTTGCCAGTATTTACTGATCACACATTACAGGGAGCATAAAAGCAACTGTAAGAAACAGCAGTGGCTAAGGCGCTGACCCAGAGCAAAGGAATGGGCCTAGGTAAATCCATCTCAACTAAAGGAGCAAGATGAGCAGCTCATATTGAGAATGTGGAAGATATTCCTGATGCTCTTCCCTTGTAACTTCATTTTCTTTCCTCCTTGTCTTCCTTATCTTATCTCACTTTTCCCCTCCCTTTTCTCTTAGTTCTTCCTGAAAGTCTTTACACTGAGCTCAGCTGAGCATACAAGTCTGTGGCTCACTTTTTTGTTATGTTTTGCAATACTAGGGATTGATCCCAGACCTTGCACTCTGCCACTAACTTACACTGAAGTACATCCTTGGCCCTTATTTTTGAGACAGGATGTAATTTAATCACACATGCTGGCCTCAAACTTATAATCCTGCCTCAGCCTCCCAAGTAACTGGGAGTACTGGTGTATACCACTGTGCCTAGCTTCAGTGTACATAATTTTAATGTCTGTATATAATCCATTACATAATTATGCCACAAATAACAATTATTCTAGAGTACATTCTGTTTTGTATACTGTGCATTAGTATAAGTAATTCTTCAGTGATCATCCAAGTATCTATTTGCATTGGAGATGAAAGCCTCACAGTACTAACAGCAGTTCACAGCTCATGCACACAATAAGTTCCTTAAGGGCACAAGAGCATTCACAGCTCATGCATATAGCACCAACTGTGCACCAGCACTGCTTTGGGTGCATTATACATATCATCTCACTTAACCACACAATAAGCCTCTGAGTAGACACTAATTATACCTTTCTTGGACAGGTAATGAAAATGAGCTACAACTTACCATAAATTTTGAGAGGCTCAGTTAATGGGCTACTCTTCTACTCTCACAAAGGATTACTGCTAAGCTTGGCTTGGTGGCCCATATCAATGTGATCCTACCAATGAGGGAGGCTGTGGCAGGAAAGTTACAAGTTCAAATTCTACCTGGCTGACTTAGCAACAACCTGTCTCAAATTTTTTAAAAAAATTACTGTGGATGTAGCTAAGTGGTAGAACACCCCGGGCTTGATGCTCAGTAAAAAAGCCAATAATGAAAACTGTCTCTGACAGGACTACATTATATTTGCAAACAACATCATCCCTGGATCTCCCTAGAGATAATCAAGATTTGTCTCAATAGTATTCATTTATCATTCAGCAATCAACCACCAAGCATCTTCTATATTATCAATTCATACATCCTGGTCACTCCCTGATATTGAAAGACGGAGGTAAAAACTGAAGCAAAATCAGTTTTATTTTTTGATTTCCCACAGCATTCCAATGTGAATAGTGTAGCACTGTGATGGGAACATGTGTGCCCTTGTAAACTATTGGCATATTCAAAGAGGTGGAGGCAAGGGGGAATTTTATAGGCAAATATGAGGTGCACTCCATCAGATATTTTGATAACCCTTGGCCACAATTAGTAACAAAGGTGATGTCAGTCCAAGTTTAAACAGTTGCTGAGCAGATGTCCTTCTACAGGACATCTGTATAGACTGGAGTGTCTTTGTTTAATCTGTGTTTCCAGATTTCTATGGCAGGTACTATTAGGCAATCATGCATGAGATCCTTCATATCTCCTGGCTTTACTTATTTTTTGTTAGGGTTGACACAAACTACTCCATTTTTACTTTGACAACTTACATACTACACCCAGAGATTCATTTATAGAATGAAACAGACACTTTAAAAGGATCCTCTTCTCAAATTGTTTTTGAATCACTGGTTTACCAGAGAATCTGAAGATTGAGGTCTTCTCCCTAGAAGGGAAGACTCTTGTACAAATAAAACAATTTTGCATACAGTATTAAAAATTATTTACTGATCCTCAGATATGCAACCATATGCCCCCTATTTGCCAGCAATTTTCCCTGGATACACTCCAACTGAGGTAAAAGGGAAAATGCATACCACTAGAAAGCAGGTAAGAACTCAGTAAACACAGAAGCAGATTAGAGTTAAAAGACAGACATCAGGCGGGCAAACAGAATATTAATAATCAGCTAATAATGATAAAGAATTTGCCATATGTCAAGCTGTTTATACTTATTCATTTGACACAGACCATGATCATACAATGTAAGTGCTACCATTACCTCTAATGTTCACAGGAACTTATCTTCAATTCAAGACAGAGAAGCCCAGCAGATGCCTATGATCACCTGGCTACCAAGAGACCAAACCAGCATTTCAACTGGGTAGTCAGGCTCAGGTCTGTGCTCTGAGCCACTAAATTTTCTTTATAAAGATGAAAGACATTGCCAAGGAGGAGAAATTGTCCTTGGGCAGTGCTGTGTTTAACTCATGAGCACATGTGATGCAAATACTGCCTGGGTTCCTGGTCTCAAATGGACCCTCAACTCACCATGTGTCCAAATGCCCAACATTTCCTTGGTTCTCCACATACAGAGAACTATTTTCAAAATCTCAGGAGCCTTTAGCCTCATGTCTAAAAAGTGGAACTCTATGACCCCAAACAATTTAGAATAGGAAAGTTTGATAGCAAGTGGTTCTTAAGCTTCTTTGAAGGTAGGAGAAACTAGTAGCCTTTTTGAGCATTCTTAAATGTCTTAAGTCAGCAATAGCAAATACACTGGAAGACTCATTCATAGTTCCATTATCTAACAAATCAGTTTGATTCATTTATCTATACTTTCTATTTGCTATTCAATTCTTGCCCACATGCAAATATATTTTTAAATAAGTATTAGTAGTAGTATAAATGTGTGAATGGTTTTATTTTTTATTTATTTTGGTACTGGGGATTGAATTCATGACCTTCTGCTTGCAAAGCAGGTGTGGAGCCACTGAGCTAAATCCCCAGCCCTGTGAATGGTTTTATATTATAGAGGCAATCCTTGCTGCTAACCAAAATGTGGTTTATATAAGACACAAAAACATACTAAACTCTACTAAGTGTTTAGAAGACAAGCACAATCAAGTAAACAATGGCATACTAATTCACTAGGCTATTACTATCTCTTGCTGCAATAACTATGATGCTTTATCCTCAGCAACAAATGTGGCTACAGTGCAGTATTCATTTAGCTCTTTGAATAAAGCCACATTGTCTCTCAACAACTTGCCTACTTAACAGTTCCTTCTCAGAATCTAGCACATAAGGCTTGGTCAAGAATGCACCCAGGCCAATTACTTTAAGGGAAATTTGTGGAAAGATAATCTAATATATTTATGTACTGGGATAAAATTTGTGCATACCCCAGCCCAATTCAATAGTGTGCAATGGGGTGGTAACAAGAATGAAAGCATTTCCACACAGATCACATTTGCACATCTTCTCTCCACAAGTTCTTCAATATAAAATAAAATTATTTCTCTTAGTGAGGCATTTTCTGTATTCCTTACATTAGTAAGTGGTCTCCCTCACATGATTTGTCTGGTATCTAATAAGAGAGGGGCTACTAACCAGGGCTGTCCCACACTGATTACATATGAGGAACTGTTCCCCAGTATGCGTTATCTGATGGACAATAAATGGAGAGTGCTGGCTGAAGATAATGTTACACTGGTTACACTTATAGGTCTCCTCTCCAATATGAATTCTCTGGTGCTTAATGAGGTCATTCTTTCGAATGAAGGCTTTCCCACACTGAAAACACCCATAGGGTTTCTCTCCAGTATGAATTCTCTGATGCACAATGAGGGCAGAACTCTGGCTGAAGGATTTCCCACAATCATGACATTCATACGGTTTCTCTCCAGTGTGGGTTCTCTGATGTGAAAAAAGATGTGAGCTTCGACTAAAACATTTTCCACAATCTTTACACTTAAAAGGCTTCAGTCCAGTGTGAATTCTGTGGTGCACAACAAGGTGAGACCTCTGGCTGTAAGATTTCCCACATTCATTACATTCATATGGTCTCACCCTGACATGTGTTCTCTGATGCAGAATGAGATGTGTGCTCTGTCGGAATGACTTCCCACACTCAGGACATTCATAAGGTTTTTCTCCAGTGTGAGTCCTCTGATGCCGGATAAGCCGGGAGCTATGCACAAAGGCTTTTCCACATTGATTGCATGTGTACAGTTTGTCTCCTGTGTGAATTCTCTGGTGGGTGATGAGATGGGAGAACCAGCTGAAGGACTTCCCACACTCTTTGCATTCATATGGCTCCTCACCAGCGTGAGTCTTTTGATGTCCAATGAGATGAGAACTTCTACTGAAAGATTTTCCACATTCTTTGCATGCATAGGGCTTTTCTCCAGTGTGAATAAGTTGGTGCCTGGTAAGATTAGAGCGCCAGCTGAAGAATTTTCCACAATCCTTACATTCATAGGGTTTTTCTCTGTGTATGCCCTTTGAGGCACCAAGGGATGCACCAGGAACAAGAGTGCTGTCATTATCAGGGCACTTGTAGGATTTATCTCTAATGTGAGTTTGTGCAAATTGAATAACATGAATGTTTTGACAGAGGGTTTGGCCACATTCATTATTGTTACCTGCACAGTTTTCCTGGTGCCCATTGAATAGTAAATCATGTTTTAAACTTTTAGTATGTGAGCCACATCTATGGAAATACTCTCTCAGTACTAGCTGAGTAGGGAAAAGACATCTTTCCTCATATTTACTACTTTCACAGGCCTTCTCTTGAATAAATACTTTCTTCTTGGTAAATGCCACTTTCCTCATATGTCTTTCTTGGCTTTCCTGATATTTACCCAACTGGTCTTCACTTTTCCAGACATCTTCTAGTGACAAATACCGAAGATCATTCCTTGATACTCTTTCCACTTTAATGCCACAGGATTGTTTATCTTTAGAAATGCTGTTTCTGGAAACTGATGATTTAATTTCAGCTATGGTCTCTGAATCTAAAAGAAAGGAAAAAGCTTTATATAACTAAACAAAGGATTAGCATAATAATGATAGAATGTATGTGGAGCCAAAGTACAAAAAACCTGTGTAGAGTTGCTTTCAAGTATGGTTAATAATCTCAGTGGATAAGGACAAAGAGAAAGATGAAGCAGTAAGCAGTAAGTGCATCAGGCTATGCACACAAAAGAACAAAAAGAATAAGGAGAGGCCACAGGTCTGAGCATGACCAAAGAGATCAAAAGAAACAATGAGGGGTGGCAATAAGGGAAATCTCATAGAAAGGCTGCCCTCTCATTTCCAAATCTGAAACAGGAATGATGCAAGATCGTATCTTGTCTATTTGTTGCCAGGCATTCCCCTCACATACATTCTTCACACTACTCCCAATTTAATACTCGTAAACCATGACTCCAGCCACATGCTAGGCAATACCTTCTGTCCACATCTTCAAAGCAATACAGAATGAGGCCAAGATGACTAACGCAAAGCACTCTCAGGAAGCCACATAAGATGGAAAAGGAAAAACATGAAATTGAGCAGATACAGGTTCTCACCTAGGCTCTGTCACTACTAGTCATGAATTTAAACAAGTTGCTAAACTCCCTAGAGTTCATTTTGTTATCCAGAATCCAAGAATGATTACTATGTAGTGTGCAAGATTATCATAAGCATAAAGTGTGAACCAATTACAGTTTGTCACAAATATGATCACAGCAATGGTATTTATAATAAACATTATAATTATTCCTATTTTCTATTTTGACTCCTTGATTCCAAGACATTGCTGTTGTTTGGATGTCAAATGTTCCCCTAGAGGCCCATGTGTTGACAACTTGGTCCCCAGACTGGCAGTATTGGAAGAGTTTTAGGTCATCAGGGCTGGACCTTTGAGGGGGACAATAGGACTGTGGTCTCTTCATCTTTGCTTCCTGGTAGATGAGGGAGTTGTTTTGCTCTGCAGCAAGTTCCTGCCACAATGCTACCTCCTCAGAGGCCAAAAGCTATGGGCTGACTTGGTTATGGCCTGGAAACTTCACAACTGTGAGTCAAAACAAACCTTTTCTTTTTCATCTTTTTTCTTTTTTAAACAAACCTTTTCTAAGTTAATTATCTTGGATGTTTTGTTATAGAGAAAAAGGTGACTTGTACTGACATCAAGATTAGCAACAAATACAATAAAAAAAAGAGCAGGAAACCAACCCTGAACCTCATGTCTGACCCATATTCTCCTAGGCTTTTGCCTCTCTTCTGTGTACATTAATGGAAATCATCTCCCCTGCTTAAGCACTACATTTGTTTCTCAATGTTTATGTAAAATGTTTGGTACCAAATGTAGAAAAAAACATTACACAATACCACTTCTTATATAAACGGGGTTGCACTGTCTCCCCCAACAAAGATATGGTGAAGTCTTGATCCTCAGTATCTCATAATGTGGCCTTCTTTGGAAATAAGATCACCGTACATGTCATGGGGTGGGGAGGCTAATCCAACAGGACTGGTGTCCTTATAACAAAAGAAAAGACATAGAAATAGACATACAGAGGATGCCAGCTGAAGATGGGGGCTGAAACTCAGTTGACATATCCACAAGCCAAAGCTTGTAGGGTTACCAGATACTTCCTAGAAGCTTGGCATACCCTCAGTTTTGAACATTTACCCTCCAGTAACATGAGACAATAAATTTCTATTGCTTTAAGCCATCCAATTTCTAGTCCTGGTTGAGTATGCCTTATCCAAAATAAATGAGACAGGAAATGTTTTGATTTTGGACTTTTTTCATGTGTTAAAATATGTGCATATAATAATGAGATTATCTTGGAGATGGGATCAAAGTCTAAACACAAAACTCCTTGATGTTTCATTTATACTTTATACCTATACCCTGAATAAAAATTTATACAATATTTTTATTAATTCTGTGCATGACAAAGATGGTACACATTGAACCATGAAAAAGCAAAGGTGTCACTCAGCCACTGATGTAGACAGCCAATCCATGCTGGTCTCACCATTGTTCTAGATTCTGATTTATATATTTCTGATAAGCAATCATTTTCTTATTCTAATTCACACATAAGTACCTAGCAGTAAGACATATGACATACATTAGTATACTGAAAAACAGCAAAAAGAGTTTAAAAAAACCAGCATATATCATTTTGCTGAAAACCTTCCACACCCATGTGTCTGATCACTGCTGCTAGCATGCTGTTCAAGAAAGTGTTTCTATAAATACTGTTCAGGGACCACAGGATACCCTGTTCACATGAACAAATCAATGAATCAGATCTGACTACAGTACATGGCATAAACACAGCTGATGAGCTGAAGGATGAGCAGAACACTTTCAGCCAACATCTGGTCCAGCTTCCCTACAGTGAGACATGCCACTAGTACAAAATGTTTGTGAAACCAAGGAGCAAAGTTTTTCCTGGAAATCTATGCCTTTCAGCATAGCAGTAAGCAATCAAGAAATCCATACCTTTAAAACAGGGACGATTCAAATTCTTGCCTGTCACAGCAGGTTTACACTTCCAGAAGCCTATCCCAGCAATTACTGTCTTTGGAACCTTAATCCCCGCATAGGCTTTTCATCAGCTGTAGTCAGTGTCTCTCTAGGACAATGATGCCAAAACAGTGATGGTTTCTTTCATCACAGTATTACAGACTTATTCTGGCATCAGATTTTCATCAGCAATGACCCTGATAAGCTCTTTAATCCATTTCTTCATAATCAGTTGTCCATGATCAGCAAAAGACTTAGTGGCACGTGTTCAACGGTGCTGATTCATCCTTTTGAAATGCCTTGGGACTCTTGATTTTTAGCTTTATGCATTTTTAATTTTTTAATTTTCATTAACTTCTGTTCACTTTCAAAACAGAGCTTCAACAGTTTATCCTCCTGTTTCTGAAGATCATTTCAACACCAAACTTTTATGTAAGATGTTTCATTCTTATGCTACCATCTAGTTTCTTAAGCAGCTTGACTTTCTGTGCTATAAACACAAATGCTTCCCCTTTTTTTTCTCACTGTTATCCAAAGGGATATCTGCAGGCTTTTTTTTTTTTTTTTTGACATTTTCAGTATCTTTATATCACAGAACAGAAAATAAGCAAAAAACACAGAAACTCACATGATAGTAGCCCCATGTGGAAAACTGTAGGGAACCTGGCTATGGTAAGCATTGTCTTCTGCACCCTAGCCAAAGTAACTCCAATGTGTGGTACACACCTGGCTGTCACCGGGCCCCTGGGCCTCCACCAGGTGATGAAACAGTGTACCAGACTGCAGCACAACAAGGTTATTCATCAGTGCCACTGGACAGCATTTATTAAGACTGGCAGGATTTCTTGCTAAGGCCAGGACAGGAACAGAGTACAGACAACTTTCCCCAAGGACTCTTCTTGCTTTTGCTGTTTTAACCAGTGCTCAATTAATGGTACCCATCTAGCACAGGAGGTTTGGAGGTTTTAGCAGTACTTCAACCTGAAAGTGCACCACTGCTCTGCAAGTTACCCCTGATGAACTCAGTCATTTGCCAAGCTGGACCTGTCTGAGTCATTCTTTGGACTGTCAGCACCTTCTCAGATTGGAGGCAGATGTTTCCTTTAAGCTTCTCCAGGAAATATACACAACACTGCCATTGGTGCACACAGAAAAGACACATCACAGCTGAAGGGGGCTGGAAGGGTTTTCTTTTTCCTTTGGAGACTGAAAAAATGTGTTGTGCACCTTCATTTAGACTTTGACCTGTCACATGAAATCAGGTATGGAGTTTTCCACTTGTGGCATCATAACAGCATTCAAACAGTTTCAGATTTTATAGTATTTTGGATTTCAGATTTTTAGAGTAGAGATGCTCAATATCTTTCTTATTGTAACTCCAGGAAACCAATATGAACAAGCTCTGTGCCAGGGAAAGTTCCTGACTTTTTTGTACAACCACACCCCAAGAGCACTAATTTTCATTCCCAACTTTGTTAGTTTCTTTTTTCTACATTATCCTAATGACTTTTTTTTTTTTTTTGATACTGGAGATTGAACTTGGGACCTTGTGCTTGCAAGGCAGGCGCTGGAACCACTGAGCTAAATCCCCGGCCCCTATCCTGATGATTTTTGATGAGAAAAGGTCTTCTTTCTCCCTTTTCTCTTCTGTCCTAAGGAACAGAGACTCCTATAGAGAAGTTTTTCAAACTACAAATGCCAAGTAGAAGGTTTAAAATGACCACAGTGATGAGGAGAGGCTGTACAACTGCTGGGGGCATGAGTAGATGCTTTCCTTCACTAGAATCCAAAAATCCTCCACATACCATGAAACACACAGAGACAAAAACGCTATTGTTGAACTCTGCCACATCCGTCAATCAACTCATTGTCTTCATCCTGTTCATTTAGATAATGAAGTTCACAGGGCCTTGTAGATTTCTTTAAACTCCATGCATTTAAACACTTGGGGTCTTATTATGTCTTTTGACCACAAAGCCTCAATAAAAATATAAACTGCTGGATCTAGTTAATGGTTGTTACTTTTATAGACTTGTCATTTGACATCTAGGAAAGTCTGCTGAATGAATGGAACACAAAAATAGAAAAAATAAGGAATGAGAAAGAAAGAAAAAATAATAAAACAATATTTCCTCCCAGGGCCCAAAGCAGTTGATGGATCATGTTCTCATTAGTATAATGAAAGACTTGCCCTTGAGATAAAATTTTAATACAAACACCTACCTACAGGTCAAATGTAAAAATGTCAAAAATTTTTTTTGATATTTCAAAGTAGAGACAAAGTAAATAGAAGCTCAAATGTAAAGGGCCTATATTTCAGGTCATAAAAAGCTTCACAAAGAGAGAACTGAGGGTAAACTCAAGGAAAAAGTCAGGCTGGGACGATTTGAGATCCAGGGAAATGCCTGACACTGTGCCCATTAGGTTCTGCAGGAACAGAGAGAAATGATGCCAGATTGTTCCAAGATGACCAGACCACACTGGGCTTGGAAACTACACACTCCATGTAAACATACATGTAAACATACATGGAGTCACTGGTACAGGTCCTGGACATTCCACACAGCAACAAATGAGTTATCTGCAGTATGATACAGAGAGCAACTTCAAAGATGCTGAGAAGGATGCCAGGGCCTTGAGTTGTAAAACAAAGAAGACTGCTTACAGAGAATAAACGAATGGAAACTGAGAGATGACTTCCTATTTTTTAACCTAGAAGGTTGACTTTCCCCATATGTAGACATACACATGGAACTTGGAAAAAATTTTTAGGAATCCTAATATTAAAAAGAAATATGAGGGGCTGAGAATTTAGCTCAGTGGTTTCACCACCTGCTGCGCAAGTGCCAGGACCCAAGTTTGATCCCTGGTACCAAAAAAACATACAAACAAACAAAAAGAAATATGAGGCCTGGGGATTTAGCTCAGTGGTTCTGCCACCTGCTCTGTAAGCACAAGGACCTGAGTTCAATCCCTGGTACCAAAAAAAAAAAGAAATATGAGTAAGTGAAAAAATATTAACTAAAGAGCTACAGTGGGTAAAGCATGTATTTTTGAGAGTTACAATTTTAGAACAGAAGGAGAGCTCAGCCAACAGGAACCTGTGAGCCCTCTATAGCAGTTTTACAAAGAACAGAACAAGTGGTACAAGTCCTGCTGCTGAACTTCCAGAGATGAGCTGAACTATGGGAAACCACCATGTGAGAAAGAAAAGAGAAGCAAAGCCACCAGAAATGACTCTCTCATAAATGAGAAAGACTCTCACAAATAGTGGGGATGCTAGAGTTCATGGTAATAATCAGGGAAGAAAAAGTGCTGAAACAAAGCATTATCAATAGAAAGACAATTTTAATAAAGAGGTAAAGTATATCTGTCTCTATATGCAAATGTAAGTGTGAGGAATGCAGAAAGGAGGCTGGTGACCCAGAAACAGAAGGTAGATAATCTCAGGCCTCTCTCAGAAACAAGGACCTGAGAAGAGTGTGACCCTGTTGCTAAAGGCTCTAGCCCCTCGTGGGCCATCTGGGCCGCCCCCTGGGAAAGCTCCTGTCTGGTCTCACCTGGGTATGTTCCATGGTAAATCCCTTTCTCCATCAGCCAGGGCTCTTCCCCTTTCTCTAGCCGCAGGATCATGTCTGGCTTAGGAAGCTGATGCCCTGTTCACAATAAAAGACCATGGTTAAAAGGAGGAGAAGCTCCAGGCAAGATCCAACCCATCCTAATTTCTTTGCAGCATGGGGACTACTTTGAAAGCAGACAATATTAGGATGCAGAGTAACAAAAAGAAACACACATTTTAACAAATTCAATAAATTAAAACAAATTTTCCACAAAAGCAGGAGTACCAAAACCCTATGCTATGCCCAAAGAAACCAGGTCACTGAACTCCACACCTACACTCTGATACATGCTTCAAGAGCATTTCATACCTTCTGAGCCATGAAGAGCCAAAGTTCTACAGTAAGCACAGCTGCAAAAACAAAGGTTAGTCTTACCCAAGGAAACCAGGTTCTTGTAATTCTCCAACATCACGTCTTTGTACATGATCTGCTGAGCGGCATCCAGCAGCTTCCACTCCTCCCTGGTGAAGTCCAGGAGCACATCTTTGAAGGTCACCAGTGTCTGCAACACCAAATATATGTGCAGTGTGCCAGATGCACAACTCTGCCCTCCCTTTCCCAGATCCCAACAGGAAAGACTGGGCTGGTAGCCCTGGAGTGGAGACAGAGCATGGACCAGAACTTACTGTAGTAGTAAGGAGTATCCTGCTTGATGGTCAAGTCTAAAAGAATGGCTGTTCAGTACCTACCATCCAAAATTGAGGTCTGCATTGTGTTTTAGGTTTAGAAACTGTCACAAGCATTTTTATTCAAATCAAGCTTATCTCTTTTTTTTTTTTGATACAGGGATTGAACTTGGGTCCTTGCGCTTGCACAGCAGGCAGCAAAACCACTGAGCTAAATCCCCGGCCCAAAGCTTGATTTAATAGGAAGAAGAACCAGATACCAAACTTTAGTCCACGTTTACAGTATATGAAATTTGGAACCTATGTCAAGGCAGGAGAATTGTAAGTGATAAGTACTACTTAATACTTAGGGTACTAAGACTTAACACTGAAGCAGGTATTATGACCAGAAACATTTTCCTTTAAAAATGGAGAAGTTAGGTGATTATACTTTAGTACAGCAGAACAATTTGACAAAGAAACAAGATATAGATATGAGGTCTTTATTAGCTATATCAAAAAGAAGAGCTGACTATACATAAAAGAAAATCTATTTGGGTGATAAGTATTTCTCATCAAAGACCATGAAAGTCAGAGACCATGGGAAAATGTATACTTGTTTTTAATGCTGAAAGAAAAGAATTTTCAAGCCAAGATTTCTATATCCAATGTGAATATCTTTAAAAATTGATGCACAGTGGGCTGGAGATTTAGCTCAGTGGTTTCGCCACCTGCTGCACAAGCACAAGGACCCGAGTTTGATCCCCAGTACCAAAAAAAAAAAAATTGATGCACAGTAAAACTGACACTGTGTTATAAGATCTGGTTTGAAAGATAAGCTATAAGAAGTTCTTTGGGCAGAAGGGAAAGGATACCAAAGAGAAACTGAAATCTCAGGAATGAAGAAAAAACACAACAAAATGGCAGAAAATTGGGCAAGTACAATGGCTTAGTATTCCCTTAAATTCTTCAAAATGATAGGACATAGGACATAGGAACAAGAAGCTCTGGGGTACTATTGCACATTAGAGTAACTACTGGCAATGATATATACCATACATCCAAAAAACTAGAAGGAAAGAGCTTCAAAGTTCTCACCGTAAAGAAATGATGTTTTGGGCCAGGGATTTAGCATTTGGCTCAGTGGTTCTGGCACCTGCCTTCCCAAGTGCAAGATCCCAAGTTCGACCCCCAGTACCAGAAAAAAAAAAAAAAGAAATGATGTTTCAAGGGATAAATATGTTGAACCACATTTAAACATGATGTAGGGCCAGGGATTTAGCTCAGTGGTTTCGCTGCCTGCTGTGCAAGCACAAGGACCTGAGTTCGATCCCCAGTACGAAAAAAAAAAAAAAAAACCCAAACCATGATGTAATGTATTTACATGAATCAAATATTACATGGTATCTCAATTAATATGTGCAAAGTAACTTTTATGTTTTATGTATCAATTTTAAATTATTTAAAGAAAAATTAAACTATAGGACAGCTGAAAGCAAACACTGTCACATTTTCTAGTGGGGCTTTTCAATATTATGTATGTATAGGTAATATGTGTATATACACAACTTTAAAACACAGGGAAGAAAAGGGCTCCAGATTTTACCTGAAGTGATAAAAATTAACCCTAGATTATAAAAGATTAAATAAGCATATTCTAATCCCTGAAGCAATCATTTAAAAACAAGAAAATATATAACTAAAAAGCCAAGATACAACTTAAAATGGAACCCTAAAAAGTAACACAAAGGTAGTACAATGGGAATGGGAGCTGAGGGTGGGAACATATAGAAAACATACAATAAAATGACACATTTGATTCCAATCATATAAATGGACTAAATATACCTAAAAAATAGAGATTACCAAACTGGATTTAAGAGAAGCAAGCCATAAACCTCAAGTATCTGCTACCTAAAAGAAAACCATGTTGTATATAACAAACTAGAGAGGTTAAAAGTAAAATGATAGAATCAAATATATCATGGAAACACTAATTATATAAATCACAGGGCTGGAGTGGCTTTGTTGGCATCAGACAACCCAGAATGCAGACAAATGAATATTGCCATAGATAAAGAAGGATAGGAGAAACTGATACATGGGCCAATCTGACAAAAGTACTACTAATAAAAAATCATCCTAAATATATCAAGATGTAAACATTATAAACATTATAAAACTTCTATAAGAAAACCTAGATGAAAATCTCTATCTTGGACTATTCAGAAGGTTCTTAGCTGTACCCTCAAAAGCATGATCCATAAAAGAATAAATTGAGGCTTGGATGCAGGGTACATTCCTGTAATCCAAACACTTTGGAGGCTGAGGCAGGAGTACCACAGGTTTGAGGCCAGCCTAGGGAAGGTAGCAAGATCCTGTCTCAAAACAACACAACACAAAAAAAAAACAGGGCTGGGGATTTAGCTCAGTGGTTCTAACACCTGCCTCATAGGCACAAGGTCCTGGGTTAGATCCCCAGTACCAAAAACAAAACAAAACAAAAGATTAAGCTGATAAAAGTTGACTTCATCTAAATTAAAACCCTTTTTTTTCTCCTCAAAAGATATTGCTAAGAGAATTAAGAGATAAGCCAGAAGACTGGGAGATAATATTTGCAAATCATATACCTAACAAATTACTTGTATGTATGATACATAAGAAGCTCTCAAAGATCAAAGACAAGAAAACACAAAAATTCAGCAACAGATTACAATAAGCATTTCATCAAAGAAGACACACAGGTGTGTAAATAAGCATATGTTCCATGTCATTATTCAATAAAATGGATGTTAAACCATCATGAGATGCCAGGCATGGTGGCACACATCTGTAATCTGAGCACTTGGGAGGCTGAGGCCGGAGGATCACAGTGAGTCTGAGACCAGCCTGGGCTACATAGTGAGTTCAAGGTCAGCTGAATGGAATAGTGAGACCCTGTCTCAAAAAACCCAAACCAAACCACATAAAACCAAACAAAACAAAACCACTGTAAGATATGATTTGATACCTATCAAAAAGTGTAAACTTTTGAACACTTGTGAAGATGCAGAATGAGTGCTACTTATACCCAGGTACTGTGGGAATCCAAAATGCTATAACCACTCTGGAAAATACTGCACATTTTTCACAAAGTTAAGTACACTTTTATCACATGACCCATGCTGATCAGTTTTCTGTTACTATTGCAAAATAGCTGAAATAATAGCCTAAAAAGAAGAAAAATTTGGCTCACAGTTTTGGGAGTTTCAGTCCATGTTTGGTTAGCCCTGTTACTTTTTTGCCTGTAGTGGGACAGTATGTGACAGCACAATACATCATGGAATGTGTGGAGGGGGCACTATTCACCTTATGGCTGGGTGCCAAAAATAAAGAGAGGTCAGAGTCCCATATCCTCTCAAGGGCATAGTTCCAATGACCCAAGGACTTCCCACCAGCCTTCCCCTCTTCAGGGCTCCACTGTCTCCCAAAAGTACCAAGCTGAAGATCAATGCTTCAGTACAAGGTCCTCTGGGGGACACTGCAGCAGGACCTTTGGCAAATACTTGAGAATCTAGAAACATATGTTCATACCAAAACTGATAGGCAAGTGTATAAAACTGGTAAGGGGCCTTAAGTGTAACTGCCCAAACTGGAAGGAACCCAAATATCCTTCAACACAGAATGCAAAACAAAGTGTGCTACATCCACACAATAGCAATTTACTCAGCTGTAAAAAGTACAGGCTACTGACCAGTGCAACAACAGATGAATCTCAAAGACATTATGCCATGTGAAAAGCTGTGGGCTGCACATCATATGACTCTGTTTATGGGACATTCTGGAACAGGCAAAATCCAAGGATGGAGAACAACTAGTAGATCCAAGGGGCTGCAGAGAAGGAGGAAAACACTGACAACAAAGGGGAAGCAGATGAAAGTTGGGGTGATGGATCTATTCTGTACCTTGAATGAAATGGTGGTTATACACTATTTCCATTTGTCAAAATGAGAGGATTTAGCCAGGTGTGGTGGTGCTTGTCTATAATTCTAGCACTCTCAGAGGCTGAGGCAGGAGGACTGTGAGTTCTAGTCCTGCCCTGGAAACTTACCTGACCCTGTCTTAAAATTTTTTTGAGATTGAGGAGGATATAAGAAAATGGAAAGATATCCCTTGTTCCTGGGTAGGAAGAACCAATATAGTGAAAATGGCCATACTTCCAAAACTACTATATAGATTCAATGCAATGTCAATTGAAATTCCAATAATATACTTCACAGAACTAGAGAAAACAATCCAAAAATTCATTTGGAACCAGAAGAGACCCAGAATAGCAAAAGCAATTCTAAGTAACAGAGACATGGCTGGGGTTATCACTATCCCCAACTTGAAACTATACTACAAAGCTACTGTGATAAAAACAGCACGGTACTGGCAAAAGAACAGACCTGAGGATCAGTGGAATAGATTGGAAGATACAGAAACAACTCCAGACATACTCAGCCACATCATCTTTGACAAAGGTGCCAACCACCATCATTGGAAGAAAGACAGCCTATGTAATAAATGGTGTTGGAAAAACTAGATTTCAGCCTGCCAAAGATTAAAACTAGACCCATACCTATCACCGTACACTAAACTAAGACTGAAATGGATTAAAGATCTAAATATTAAGACAGAAACACTAAACTTGCTGGAAGAGAAGTTAGGTAGAACTCTGGAAGACATTGGCATAGGAAAAGACTTTATGAACAAAACCTCAGTGGCACAGGAACTTGCACAAAGAGTCAACAACTGGGATCTCATCTTATTTAAAAGCTTCTGGACTGCAAGGGAAACCACCAACAGAGCTAACAGACAACCTACAATATGGGAAAAAAATTTTAGCAGCTGTATATCAGACAAGGGACTACTATCTAGAATATACAAAGAATTGAAAAAAATCAGACCCCCCAAATGCAAAGACCCAATTCAAAAATAGACATCAGAAATGAACAGACATTTCTTAGACAAAGAAATAAAAGCAGCAAACAAATATATGAAAAAATGTTCAACATCACTGGTCATTTGAGAGATGCAGATGAAAACAACAGAGATTCCACCTCACCCCAAAAAGAACGGCTGGTATCAAGAAATCAAACAATAACAAATGCTGGCGGGGGTGTGGGGAGAAAGGAACCCTTCTCCATTGCTGGTGGAAGTGTAGACTGGTGTGACCACTGTGGAAATCAGTATGGAGATACCTCAAAGAACTAGGACTAGAGGTCCCATTTGACCCAGCTATTCCCCTGCTGGGTATCTTCCCAAGAGAATTAAAAGAATCATACCACAGCCATATATGTGCACCTGTGTTTATAGCAGCACAGTTTGTAATAGCTAAAGCTTGGAAGCAGCCCAAGTGTCCATCAACTGGAAACTGGATAAAGAAGATGTGGTTTTTTAATAAAATGGAGTACTACTCAGCCATAAAGAATGAAAAACTAGAGTCATTTATAACTAAATGGATGCATATAAAGGCCATACTCTTAAGTGAAGTAAACAGGACACACATGTGTAAATACCAAATAGTTTCACTAGTGTGAGAAACTGATGGTGTAAACAAGGGTTAAAATGATTAAAATGAATATTGGATAATTGGAAATAGGAAAAAATGTCCAAAGATGAAGGGGTGAAGGGAAGGAAAGGAGAAAGGAAAGGTGGGAAAGGAAAAACTATGAGAAAAGAAAAAAAAATGGAAATGATGCCTGTGTAAATAGGGAAGGGTGGAGGGGGTGAAGGGTGTACAGGTAATGGGGAAAAAAATAAGAACCAAGATGCATCATGTACAGGTACAAACACCCAATGATAAATGTAAATGAATTGTATACCTAAAATGTACCAATAAAAGAACTTAGGGAAAAAAAATTTTTTTTTGAAGGGCAAGAGATGTAGCTCAGTGTGAAGGCCCTGGGTTCAATCCCCAGGACCACACAAGGAGAAGATTTTACTGTATGTAAGTTTAAAAATCAATGCAAAGCCCTTTAAGGAATGTTCTGTGAGGTTTTATGTGCTGAACATCTCTTTTTCCCTTCAGGCCCCTATCTGCCAATCCCAAGGACACAGAAAGATTCTAGAAACCAGACTCTGGATTCATGGAGCTGTGAATGTCAAGGAGATACACACCACCACCACACCAGCAATTTTCTTCCTGTTTCCAGTTGGTGATCTCCATTGGTGAAATAAATCAGAGAAGCAAAGGGCAAACAGCCTTTGATAACAAAGGTTGTATCAGCTGAAAAAGTTTGTGAGAAGAGAAATTAATGTTTTCACCCATCAGGCTCAGTAGTAATGATGCCCCTTCCCTACCACACTCTCACAAGGTGCCTGTGGCTCTCCATGAATACTTGACTTGTTTGTGGTGCTCAGTGTTCCTAAAACGCTTGCCCATGTTTCATCTCCTGATCTCTGCCTGTTGCTATTGGCATTCCCCTAAGGAGATGCTGTGCTTCTCTAGAAACACAGAAACAGTCGGGAGGGCAACACTGAAAGGAAAGGTGTGTGAGAGGGGAGTGAGAACTGCACTTGAAACCAAGCAGACTTGAGCTCAGACTCGGACACCTTCCGTTTGGGGTTAGATAATGCTTGTTTGGCTTAACTTCACCTTTCTTAGCTGTAAAGTACAATATACCACCGAGAATTATGTTTACTCCCAAACAGTACAGTATTGTGTTGAAGACAAGAGTGAAAAGCACAATCCATTCCAGTCAGTGTGTAGAGACACAAAAGATGGGTGCAGCATAAGGACATTCTGAATCATAATTTCAACAGTACTTTAGCAATATCTTGTGTGTACCTCCTCTTCCTGGAAATATTGAGTTGTGTTGTTTATCGATTTGTTCATATTTGTTCATACGAACATAGCTGTAAACAATACAGTTTGCAGTTGATCTCTTCCTTTTTCTTATCTTTTGTGGTACTAGGGATTGAACCCAAGGCCTTCTGCATGCTGGCCAAGAGCTCTACCACTGAGCTACATCCCTTTTTATCTTGAGACAGAGTCTAAGTCAACCTTGAACTTGCAATCTTCCTGCCTTAGGCTCCTTAGTAGCTGAGATTATAGGTATGTGCCACTGCACTCGGCTGTTTCTGGACATTCTGGTCAGCACAAGTCGCTCATTTATTTTTCTATTAATCCCCAGTCCATTTTATTGCTTTTGGTTTTTTTGGTAACAGGGATCAAACTCAGGACCTTGCACTTTCAAGGCAGGCGTCGGAACCACTGAGATAAATCTCCAGTCCCCTAGTCCCTTTTAGATATACTATTTCTCTCTTTCTACTCTAACATATCAAACTACTTTTCCAATTTTGTGTATCTTTAAGAATTTCCATAATAAAAAAGAAGGAAAGACCAAAGTCCAGTGATTTCTCATGAACTCTTTTTAGCCAGTACAGCCAACTTCTCAGCAGCACACAGTTCACACTTGCCTCACAGGAGCTCTGCCTGCCTCCTTTGCAAGCTTCTATTGACATTATCAATTATGGCTTTGTTTCATTTCTGCTGCCTCTTACCCTGTGAATCCTGCAGGGCACTTTCCTGAGCCCATAAAGTCAACACTAAAGCTGCAGACAGTCAGACCCACTGAGGAGTCCCATGCTGCCCATGCCTCCCCTTCCTTCTGCTGGAGCTGCGTTAATTCTTCAAACAAGTCATACTGTCTCAGAAACCTAGGCTCTCACAAATCCAGTTCTATCATGTTTATTTTGACAACAAGTTATCCTTAATATCTTGGCAAAAATGTCATTTCAGCAAGTTTTCTCATGGACATTAAAATTAGTTAAATCTCCTGGTGTTCCATGCACACACCTAACACCTGCCCAAAGCATCCCAGTGTGGAACTGAGCCCTGCAGACAGCAAGAACATCAGCTCTGCTTTCAGTCTTTTTCCCCAGCTCACTTGTCAACACTACATGCAGGATCCTCCTGAGGAAGAGGCTAGACAGGCACAAGGGCAGCATCTACACCATTGACACTCCAGGTCACCCTGCTGCCAAAGGTCCTGTCCTCACAGTATAGACAGATGAGGTAGGTCAGTAGGGATAAGTCCTTGAGAGAGTCAGAACAAAGATGAAACACCACAGCTGTGACTGGAGACATACTGGTTGGAAAGCAGGCCTCAAGATAAAAACAAGATGACCAGACCTGCATACTTCCTCAAAGGACAAACACCGGGCCTAATGAAGTCTAGACAGACATCAGCCACCCTGGTAGATGACCAGAGATCTCTGGACCCACCATTTTGTAGGAGAATCTTTGTTTTGTTTTTGGTTTTGTTTTTTTTGGTATCGGGGATCCAATCTGGGACCTTGCACTTGTGAGGCAGGCGCTGGAACCACTGAGCTAAATGCCCGGCCCAAGAATCTTTGTTCTTTCCATCCACACTTGTCACATGACTTGTTTCCCAATTGGACCACTATTACCTGCATGACTACTTGTAACCTTATTGGATTATCATGGCTATAGCCCATGTTGCACCCACATGGGTTTTGCTCTGTAAAACTCCTCTGTAAAGTGGGATCCCCAGCTACACACTTTGGTCCCCTCTTGCCTCTCAGGAGCTTTCCTATCAAAAATATCTTCCTACTCTTAACCTCCAATGTTCCTAGAATTCATTCTTCAATTTTTAGAGAACAAGAGCTTGACGTATCATATAGCTAACAGGTTGGGAGATATAACTGTAACAAACAGCGGAGGAATGAGACTACCTGAGCAGGCTAGCAAAAGCAAAGAGGTTAACCTGGGCAGAGGTGGACTGATAGCAAGCAAGGGGCCATCAGCCCTGAACAAAGAAAAGGCAGAAAACATTACAGAGCATTGGAAGAGAGGTTTGGCACATCTATCATGGATAGGGGTCAAAACAAATATTTGTAGTTGGGGTCCATGCAGCAATAAAGACAGATGTATGGATATTTTCAGGTGACTTGGCTTTGGAAAGATGTTGTACTTTGTAGTTGTTATCTTTATGTTGGGAACATCTCATCCTGTGTTCTGTGTTTCATCTGTTCTGAGACAGCACAGCTTTTGTCAGGCAAAGACAGCACCTCCATCAGCTAGGTGTTTTATTGTGTTTTTTTGTATTTTGTCAAACTGGAGCTTGGAATTAAAGAGCATATTCATTAACCATTTCACAACCAGGTCAAGCTTAACAATAATATTTCATATTTCATCTCCAGTATTATTTCCTGTATCATTCAGACCTCTCTGCTTTGGCTGCAGTTTCCCTTGGATAACTTTCTAAGGTGTCAAGCTCCTCCAACCAGAGCTCCCCATGGAGGAATTCACACAACCAGCACCATGCCCAGGACAGCCAAGACCAGGGAAGCCTGAGAGGTACCAGCACTTCCAGTTCCCACACCCCAAACTCATTCAACAGGATCTTGAGATCCCACTCAACTCTGCCCACACTACTGATGAAGTGAAACTACAATTACAAATGAAGAAACACAATAACACTACTCTCCTGGAACAGAGTGTCTGAGGCACAATTGCTGAAGTTTCTCTGCCCAGGAAAAGGGATTCCCAGCTGGATAACAATGAGAGCAGTCCAATGTACCTGGGACCTGTCCATCAGCACCACAGCTTCTGTTCCTGCCTCGTTCTCAACGACACTTTCTCAAGTAACAGGAAGAGTCCTGAAAAGCAAAGTTGCAGAAAAAAACACAAGTTACATAAATTGTTCATTCACCTCTTAAATCTCTGGCATCCTTGCTAAATTTCATTTGGAACTGAATGGAATTTGGAACTGTGGGCTATTAAAAATTCTCTCTTAAAGTAAAAATAAACAACAAAACTTGACCTAACATCGTCACTGCATATGTAAGAAATGTGTTTTCTCCAGCTGGTCACAGGAAGCCAGAACCTTGAAGAACATGCAGAACACAATGACCCTCTGCCAGCTTGAGGATGGAAGGTGCAGGTGATGAGGATGGGGACTGTCCCAGAAGCCCAGCCACTCAAGTGTGCAGCACATGAAGAGGGACAGGAAAGGGAATCCTGCCACAGGCCAGCCTATGTGAATTTTCCCCTGAGCTCTGCCTCTGGACTCTGGGCATGGAGGTTTCAGACCTACACACCAGCTAACTGTGCTATCTGAGGTTGCTACATTGTGAAAATTTGTTAGAAGTGGAACAGAAAACTAACACAGTTCATTTTCTTTTTTAAAAGAATTGGGATGTTATGTAAGTATACCAACTTCTTGTAACCATTATGAACCACATGCAACATAAAAAATTTAAATTGTTTAAAGGTAATTTAAATATTAAGGAAATATATGTATTTTTAACTTAAGCAGTTACCAGTGCCCATTCCTTTCTTATGAACCCATATTTCATTTCTGTTTCATTTCCTTTTTTCCTGAAGGACATTAACATTCTTGATAATAGGGGTCTCTCAGTTGTAATTCTTTCAGCTTTTGTGTGACAATGTCCTTACTGTGCTATTTGGTTTTTTTAAATAGCTTTATTGAGGCAGAGAAGCTGAGCCAGTCCCAGCACCAGGAAGGAAGCTCCCCCGCCGCCATCCCACGGTCCTAGGGCAGAGAAGCTGCCAGAAGCACGCACACGCGCGCACACACACACACACACACACACACACACCCATGGAAATGGGAAGACACACAAACAAGACTCAAAAACAGACTTCTGGATCACCTACAGCAACCCCAAATGGAAATGAGATGGAACAATCTGATACTCAACCACCTGGACTCTATGAACTGGCAACAAAAGAGGATCTGGGAAAAAAGAAATCAGAAATAATTTCTCAGATAACAGCAAAGTTTGTGGTCATAGTGCAAGACATGATTAATAAGTCTAGAGAGGACACAGATTAAAAAAAATAGAGGATCTGAGGAACACGATGGAATCCCAACATAGGAAACCAGGAGATTAAAAACTCCATCAAAAGTCTGCAGAGCAGAATGAACCAATATGAGGATAGAACTTCAGATATAGAAGATAAGATTGCAATTAGTGACCAGGAAAAGAAAAATTGCTTTAAAATTGTAAGGGAACATGAGAAATCAA